AAGGAAGGAAGGAAGGAAAGAAGGAAGGAAGGAAGGAAGGAAGGAAGGAAGGAAGGAAGGAAGGAAGGAAGGAAGGAAGGAAGGAAGGAGGGAAGAGACACTTACTACAAAGGCATAACAACGCGTGCAGGAAGTTTAAGTGGTGTTGCTTAGGGAAAGTGTTTGAGTGGCTGTGATTCCAACTACCTCAAATTCTGGAACAGAGAAAATACAGAGACAGGGAAAAGCTCAGTGGCTGCAAGGGGTTTGGAGAGTCTGGAGGGCAGAGGGCAGGAAGGGATGAACTTGTGACTCACACGAGCTTTTAGAGCAGTGGAACTTTTCTGTACGGTTTCATGACTATACATAAGTAATTGTGCAGCTGTGGGAGAGCAGCTAGGAAGATGAAGGCCGAACTGGCCTCCCCTGTGAGCCCTCCTCACAAGGGCGGCGTGCAGAGGCGCTGACGTGTCGGGAAAAGGAAAACAGCTGAGATCCCGTCGTTCACCCGGGCAAGTTCCATGGATGGTGGGGGCAGGCAAATCCTGTGGACCTCTAACGCTTGTGCCCGTGTCTGAGTGAATAAAGCCCAGGCGCACCCTTGGGGCTCTTTGTAGAAGGGAGACAAGAGCCCCCGCCCTCCACACTGCCAGCTGTTCTGCGTCTCTGTGTTTCATCTTTGTCTCCCCTTGGTCAGGTACAAGCTCATAGGCTGGCTCCTACACAAAACCTTACCACAAAGTTCGAACTCTAACACAAACTGTGGGTCTTATTTAATAATAGTGTATCAATACCGGCTCATCAATTATAACAAGTGTACCACTGCTTCAAGTTCATAATACAAGAAACTCTCAGGATTAAAGAGGAGGAGTGACCTAAGGAAACTCTCTCCATTGAGGGTGGTGAAGCATAAAAAAAAATTTCTGTATTTTGTTCTCAATTTTTGAAGGTCTAAAAATAAGACTCTTTAAAAGAAAAATAAAAATGGAGAGCCTTTTCATGAATCTTTAAATATAATTAAGTTAATGAGTTGTAAAAAAAAACACTTAGTTTTACAAATATAGCAAAATAGCCCAGATCATTTATGCTACTGTGTTTTGCTTTTTTTTTTTTTTTTTTTTTTTTTTTTTTTTTTTTTTTTTGAGAACACTGGAATTGTAAGCCAAAGCATGAATTCCAAGGGAAGTGTTTTAAGTTTGTCGAATCAAGAGTTGTCAAAGTTAAATTCTTTTAAGTGTTTTGTTATATCCATTTGTGTGCCAAGTCAACACTGAGATTCAGAGACAAAGTATATCTCTGTAGTTTTATGATTTTAACTAGGATTTAATCCATATATTTCACAATAGCCAAAGGAAAGAGAAGTTTGATAAGTAACCAGCTAACCTAAGGATCAATGTTTTCCTTAAGAAATTTATCAGTCAGACAACTGACGGCTGTGTTAGTCAGGTTTCCTTTACTGTGGCAAAATACCTGAGATAATCAAGTTAAAGGTAATCAAGATTTATTCTGGCTTATGGTTTCGAATGTGTAGGTCCATAGTTACTTGGCCACACTACTTTGAGCCTCTTGCAGAGCAGCACATCGAAGCAGGAGTGGACGGTAGACCAAAGCTGCTCACCTCAGAGCAGCACGGAAGCAAAGAGAGTGAGGGGAGAGGCTGAGGTCCCAGTGTCTCTTCAAGTGTACGCCCCAGTAACCTAATTTCCGTCTACTAGAGTCCACCTCCCAAGGTTCTGCCACTCCCCCGTGGCACCACAGGCTGGTGACCAAGCCTTTAATACACAAGCCTTTGAGGACGCGTTAGAGCCAAATTTTAGCAGTGGTTGATCTGCGTTCACTGAAAGGTTAAACCTGGCAGCTCCTCCAACCAATAGCTCCAGGACAAAAGACCTCCTCAGTTGTGAGGAAGTGACCTCGTCAGTGTCATTTTTGCTTCTGACAGTTCTGAGGTTTTAGTCTCAGGTGGTCAACTCTTACTTTTTCCTAATTTTGCTTTTGTCTTTTTCAGACAGGGTCTTGCTACACAGTTCAGATTATCCTTGAGCTCACTTTGTAGCCCAGGCTTATCTCCAACTCCCAATGATCCTCCTGCCTCAGCCTCCCAAGTGCTGGGATTACAGGTGTGCACCACCACACCTGGTTTTTTTCTAATATTAATAAATCATTTGTCACTTATAGATTTAACTGGAGGCTAAAACAGATATAACAGAAACCATACCAAAGTCAGACTATGTTTACAGCTTAGAAAAATAAAATGAACACAGATGATCAACGTAGCAAACAACTTGACTTCATTATAGACAGTGAGGGTACTGTTCATCTGGAAGTGGTAGAGCCAAAGTACATGCACGATGCAGGTTTGTTGACACCAACGTTCTTCGGGTGATATTTCATATAATAAAATGAGCTATAACATGTATTTGAGTTCAGTTTTTGGAATAAAGCCACTAGAGCTGCTGGGCTGTGACTGCTTCCAAATGAAATGCTTTGGATGACACCAAACGGATGACAGTGCCTGCTGATTGCTCCACACGGCACTTCTGAGGGAGGCACAGAAGAACAATGATGAGCGCCTCCTCACTCTGTTAGGAGGTAAGTGAGCAGCACACAGCTCATGTAACCACAGATTCAACCCTTGTAACACTGTGCCTGCACAGGCTGCACGAGAGCACCCAAGTCCTGGTGACGTGTACGTTAGTATAAACTGTTCAGTGAATTCTGCACCTATCCGCGCTGGTGCCTCTCTGACTGGGCTGACTCGTTAGTCTTTGATCCAGAAGAACTAATGCTGCAATATACAATTTGAATACTTGGCTTCTTATCACTTTTATGTTTTCTGTCAATAAGCCAGTGATAATATTCCACAAGTTTATAATTGTTCCATTTAGAATCCTATGTTGTAGTTCATTCATTCTTTCCCTAATAGTGGCCTCCAGCAATTCTAATTTCTCTGTCAGTTCCTTCTGGTAATAGTTTCATAATTTATGTCTGTTAGTTCCCAGAGGCCTCGTCGAAGTTCTGGCGGAGTTATCCAGAAGAAAACGTCCCCAGACTGTTGCTTGAGATGTCTCTGAATGTATTGCGCATCCAAAAATCATCAAGAAACAATCATGCCTGAAACACATGTGGGATACTAAGAAATATGGCAGTGGGAAAGCAGATACTGCATAGGACAAAGGGTTCTGCAAGATAATGAGAAAGCAGTGAAAGAAGGGAAGTTAAGACGATACTGTAGGTTTCTATTATAAGTTCTTTCAGAAACATCAGTATATTAATGTAAGTCAGGATGTTCTTGAGAAAAATAGCAGTAGGCAAAATTCTTTAAACTAACATCATGTAAGAGCAATTTATTATGGATGTTTCTAAAGGATTAGTATTCTTCAGAACAGTCCTTAGAAAATGCAGCACAGACTGAAGTATGAAAGGCAAGATAATGTTTAGGCAGAGTCCTGTGGAAGGTCCGAAAAATAAGTTGTTCTTTCCAATTGGGAAAAAATGGGGAAGATGTCACTGAGGGTGTGGCATTGCAGCTAGTCTCTGAAAGACAAGGGAAATGAGGACAAGCACAGTTCTGATCAAAGAGCCCACAGAGCTAAAAAGTGAGGACGTGAAAGTGGCTGATTTTCCATGAAGACAGAGTAATTTTGACATTCTTTTGTTCTAAGAGACTATGATGAGGATTTATCTACCAATGATAGGAAAAAAGGAAAATGAACAATTTGGCTAGCAAGACCTGGAAGATGAAGGGACTCATATGTAGAAGGTAGAAGTGAAGAGTTATTTTGGGCTTGTTACATTTGTGACAAAGAAGTTCTGGGTTTGGGTCGGGGATGTAGCTCAGCAGCATGGCACCTGCCTGGCAAGCGCGAGGTCCTGAGTTTGATTCCTGGTACCAAAAATAAAAGAAGTTCTGGGTACAATTTTTAAGAGAGGAAAAAAGAGATGACAGGAAAGAAGGGAAAGTCCTAGAGAAGAGGAAGGGCATGAGGGAGACGTGAGGAGGAAGCAGGCGGGCATAATGGGGGAGGTGAAAATGATCAAAGTGCATTAGTGCAGGAAGGGATCTCCCAAAGCAAAATGCATTATCACATAAACTAATGTGCTATAATAAAGTAAAATTTAAAAAAGAAAGTTGGAAATTTGACCCTAGAGATTAGAAGGAATCTCTGATGAAACAATAGACTTAGCATTTCTTCTCTTATGGGCAATATCCAAAATACATGGGCACATATTAAGTAGCTGATTAAAGAAAGAAACTTGGTGACATTAATCATGTCCTCAGAAAGCAAACTAAGTGGTAAAGGAATCAAAATCATGCCCATATTCACAATGGCAAAGATAAGATTTATGATGCTAAAGTACAGAGGCTTCTTAAAGATAAAATGAGTATGTACATCTCCTAACATACAGCACAAATAGATTTAAACAATATAGAAAAATGTAACCCTAACTCTGATTTCTCAGACATCTTTCGTGTTATTTGAAAGAAAGCAGGTCTGGTTGTTGGGATTCATGGTTGTAGTAATCTACATTAACTAATGGGTTGGTTGAATGGAAGAGGATGAAGAAAAACTAGGCAGACCAATGACAAGAGATTTTGTTAGGTTTTCCAGATGCTCACTGACTGTGAAGATATTTGTGTCTGCAGCAGTTACCTATTTCTGTATAACTAATTATCCCTGAGAATTTACTGGTTTAAAACAACAATCCAATAGTGGCTTAGCAGGGTCCTCTACTTCATGGTCTCATAGATGACAATGAACGCATCAACCGGGGCCGCAGCCACAGATAAAGCCTCACTTAGCTGTTGGCAAGAACCCATTTCTGAACATGAAGACCTCAGTCTTTTGCTGGCCACTTGCCAGAGGTCACCCTTTACTCCTCGGTGGGTAATCCTCCTTCTCCATCAGGGGAGCTGGGCAAGAAGAGCCAGTGAGAGACTCTCGGCAAGACAGCCCACAGTCTTTTATCACCTAAGCTCTGAAGTGATGTGTCATTGCTTCTGCCATGTTTCATTTCCTAGAAGACAGGACAACTGGCCCACAGCCAAGGAGAATTATACAAGGACATGATGTGTTTTGTGAATGTCAGTTGATGTTCCATGAATGTCAGTTTAGGGGACAAAATGTCCCTTCAAATTCTCACATGTTCAGAGGCGGGGCTTTTGGAAAGTGGTTGGCTCATAAGGGCTCCACCTTCACCAACAGATGAATGCAGTGGTGGGGTCACAATCTGACCGCGCTGTGGGGTGATGAGGACAGAAGGCGAGGCCTGTAGCAGGGAGTGGGCCACGGGTGTGGGTCCGTCCTCTCTGGCTCTTTCCCTCTCTGCCTGCGTGCTGGCTACCAGGCGGCGCCGCGTAGCCTGTTTCTGCTGCACCCTTTTTGCTGTGTTCTTTCTTCCTCACCACAAGCTTAAGGCCAAGGAAAGTACTGTATCACCGAGCTCATCTCCACCCCTTTCAAAATTTTAAATCCTGAGATAGGGTCTCGCTATGTTCCCCAAGCTGGCTCCACACTTGCAATCTGCCTGCCTCTACTAGAATAGCCGAGACTACAGGAATGTGCCACCCCACCCCTGCCCCCGTTTCTCTAAACAGCTCTTGGGTCCAAATCTTTCTTTAAACTCCAACTCAGCCAGTGAAGTTCAGGCCTTCATCATATCTTGCCTGGAAAATGGCTTCCTTAGTTTTCTTTCCCGGCCCTCTAGCTCCCTTGGTTACTTTATACTGTTGCCAGAGGTATAGCTTTCAAACCTAAATCTGATCATGATAGTCACTGATTAAGCTCTTTCAATTGGATTATGTTACATACACAGAATTTATGCATCTTAATCCATCAGCTATACTTAACTCCACAGCCTCCCTCACCCTAGACTTGCGGTTCTGAGAGCTTCAGTGTTTTGAAGTAGACTGAGTCCTGACTGAGAAGGTGAGCGTTGCCGTATCTCTTCTATTTTCAAGACCAGTCATATGGCAGGCGCTCAGTAAACACTCAGTGAATGGATAAATACACTCAAATAATGTCAAAGGATCCCATCAAGTTAATAAAGCCATCTTAAGCAGTTTGTTGTTTAAAGTATTTCATCGACGTTTCCACCCAAAGAAAGTCAGGCTTTTGGTTACTGAGCTGACTAATAGAGACGTATTTGCAGGCAAGCATGCCTCTGATGCCTCCTAAATCCAACCGTTCTGTGCTGCTTGCGGTGTGCACACTTTGAGGTGTAAACCCTTAGCAGCACATCAGTACTCACGGCCTCTCCATCGACTTTCTTGGCCAGCTGGCTCCCTCCGGGGTCACCCTTCAAACTGGCTATTTGTGCAGCTTAATTTTGTCACCTTGTCAGCGAGGCTTGTTAGCAATTTATGTGTGGCCCAAGCGTCTGGAACTTAAAGGTCACAGAATGTTAATAAAAGACTAAAGGTAATTATCATTTGTCTGCTTTCTTTATGGGCATATATGAGTAACAGGGAGATTGTATTTATAATCATGGAGGAAAGAACACCGTAGTGAGAGCTAGGAAAGGGGTGAAATGGCCAAATAACCATCACGTCTGTATGTTCCTTTACCACTCAAGACAATCAACTAACACTGTCTTAGTGGCATTTGTCTAAGCAACATTTTCCCCTTCTTTGCTGTGATGTAAGAGTTCCGCTGCTCTGCCCCAAACAGACTTTCCTCAGATGACCTCATCTTTCAAAACAATGTACACCTTCTGAAAATAAAAGACCACGTTACAGATCTGCGGATGCAGTTTGGTGGGAGAGCTTTGCTCAGCGTGTTCAAGGCCCTGGGTTTAATCCTGTACAGCTTTAGGTACTACCACAGGACGACCCAAGGAAACACTGCCCTAGATTGCAAGAGTACTCTGAAAACCCAAAGCACTCTTTGGTGGTTTGAGCAGGAAACATCCCGTGAATTGAAAGCTCCAGCATCTTCCCCTCAAATTGTAGCCATCTGGGGGAAACTAAATCAAGGTAACTCACAAGATTTTTTCCCTGAAGATTGACTTCTGTGCCAGTTATTTTGGTTGTCAACTTGACTGGATTGAGAAAGACCTATGAAATTAGTAAATCACACTGCTAGATGCACCTGAGTGCATCTGTGAGGGTACTCCACAGGTGACAGGCATGTGGGACAGCACACTGGGGGGGCACACTGCCCTGAAAGAGGACAGCACCGCCTAGCAGGGTGAGGTCCTGGACAGAGCCAAGGCAGAGGAGGAAACCCACCAGCACACGCTCCCTCTCTCTCTCTGCTTCCTGGCTTCTGTGGGGTGAGCTGTTTTCCCACACGAAGTTCCTTCCTCACCACAGGCCTAAACCCGTGGACTCAGCTGACCATGGACTGAAACATCTGAAACTGTAAGCCAAAACAAACATCTCCTTTACATTGTTAGCTTCACGTGTTGTTTTCATGGGGATCAAAAGCCAACTCAACTTGTTTCAAGACCAGCTGGTCTTAAAGTCATAGTCCAGAAATTTTAAATTGTGGCCTGGTGAGGCCAGCATGGCTCTCTTTCCCTGTGCCATGCTGAATGTGAAAGTTTACTGTATCAAGTTTGGGAGACCGCTTCAAACAGTGCCTGGTACCTGACAAGCATGCGATACCATGTATTCTTTCCCAGAGGTGATTGCTGTGTTGATTCACCTCCAGTCCCCGTCTGTACTTGTCTATCACAGAAGGTGTAGACAGCAGAGAAGGCCATGTGGTGCCAGCACCCTGGCTTCTGATTAGTCCTCCCAAATCTGACTTCTCTTGAGTTGTCATCATAAAAGACCAGGAAATGATGCATGATAGCCAGGTGTCTTATAAATGACACAAGAGGAAGCTTAAAATTAAAAAACATCAATCACATACTCAAGCATTGAACTAGAGTCAATAAAACCCCTCAATTTGTCTAATCTTTTTTAAGATTGCAAACACTTCTACTAACCAGTTAGAATGCTGCTTTAGATGTCGATTCTTGATACTACCTTTAAAGGGCAGTAAAGTGTTAACTCTCTCGCAGTCAGATTGTTCTGAGTCAGTTTGTGGTAAGAGGAAGGAATGACCCGTAGAAGGCTATGGGGCTGTTCTATAATCAGTCCTTCCCCGACTCAGCTATTTTCATTTCACTTCTCAGGCCAAGGATTAGTGATAAAAATTTGCAAGTAAAAGGCAGTCTAAGAGCCAGGCAAGGTGGCGCACGTCTATAATCCCAGCACTCAAGAGGCTAAGGTGGGAGGATCACTGAGAGTTCAAGGCCAGCCTGGGCTGCAAAGTGAGTTCAAGACCAGCTTGAACTGCATAGTAAGACGCTGTCTCAAAAAGACAAAACAAAAAAAAAAAGGCAGTCTATTTTTAAAATTATATTCACTTTCAATTCTCTTATAAAATTTGATTTTGGGGGATTTTTATTTTGTAAATACATTCACTTCATTTAAGTTACAAGATGTACTTCTGTATAATTTATTTATTTAATAAGTACTTCTCCGTCCCAGGCATTCTGATAGAGATAGGTTGTAGCTATAAATTTTAGTATAACATGATATAATATTTTTCATTTCTATTTTATGATCTCCCTAGCATGATTTCTAAATAATTGAAGTTTACTTCAAATTAAAGTGAAGGTAAAATATAAACTCTGGTACATGAATTTATAATGAGACCAAATTCTAAGGAAATTGAATTTCTCTCTTATAATTAGTCTATTCTTTGCCCTTTAAAACCAGGAAACAGAGCTCTTTAAATTTCAGGTTTGCTGAAATTATACTTTAGAAAGTCCATACTCAGAGATTTTCTCAGAATATAATTTGGAAAGCACATTTGCCCCAGTGGTAATCCAGGAGCAGCCTGAAACTGGGTAACCTGAGAAATCTTAACAGAGGGACTGTGAAACGCATAGGGAAAATAAGTAAGAAATAAGAAAAAGGCGTTCAAGGAAGCTGCCCTCAGGGGTGAGCAGGAGAAAGGCTGGTGCCTATGGGGGAGGAGAGAAGATACCGTAGTTTCTGTGTTGCTTTTACACTCCAGGAATTTCACAAGTTCACGGATTGTAGCCTTTCAAAATTTAATTGAGGGCCAGACGTAGTGGCACATGCCTGTAATCCCAGCACTCGGGAGGCTGAGGCAGGAGGATCGTTGCGAGTTCGAGGCCGGCATGGGCTACAAAGTGAGCTCAAGGCCAGCCTGAACTGCGTAGTGAGACCCTGTCTCAAAAAAAAAAAAAAAAAAAGAAAATTAATTGAGAAAATTAATACAATAATTGTTTCTAAGCTCTTCCACTCTGTTTTTTTTTCTAGCTTGCTTTCACTCTAAATAAATTATAATTCACAAATAAGATAATTCTCCTAAAATTTTAAGTTAAAATAGAAAATATTTTGCTTACTCTACCTATATCATTGTGCTTATGCTTTGCTTTTTACAAGATCAAGAGAGAAAATTGCCAAAATAACACAAAGTAACAGAGGCAGTGTTTGAAATATAATTTAGAGGAAAGGAAACAAAAATGTGTAAGGGGAAAGATGCTCATTATTTCTTCTGGTGTAAGCTTTCCGTGACATTGCCTAAATATCGTATGCTGCATAAGTGAACGAATGAGCCAGGCAGCACAACGCCCAACTGTGTGGAGCCAAAGATGTTTCTATCCCAGCAGTGAGTGGTCCTGAGCCCTCTCCTGTCAACCGTCCCCGCCGCCACTGTATACAATGTAAGCTGTTTGTACGTCTCATTTTCTGACCAAACTAAATCCTCGAGAGCAAGTATCGTACTCTATTAAAAGCATACAGTAGGAATTGAGTTCATATTTTTAAAGTATTGAAGCTGAGATTACAATAATTATCAACAGTTTAGTACAGGAAATACTTGGTCCCAGGATGTTTCTGTATCTATTTCATCATTAGTAAACATGGGTAGTGTCTCCTATATGTTGCTTTCATCCTCTTCAATTAATTCCCTTAAAATGTCTGGGTCCTCAGTTTACGCTATCTACAACACAGTTCAAGATACATTACAGAAGCCAGGCGGGGTGGTGCACGCCTATAATCCCAGCACTCGGGAAGCTGAGGCAGGAGGATCCTTGTGAGATCAAAACCAGCCTGGGCTACAAAGTGCGCTCAAGGCCAGCCTGAACTGTATAGCGAGACCCTGTCTCAAAAAGACAGACCAAAAAAAAAAAAAAAAAAAAAACTAAAAAATGCAAGATACATTTACAGAAGCTATTGTCAAGGTCACAATATCTGAGTTTGCAGACCAAAAGTTCTCACCATCCACAAAGCAAAAGATATGAAA